GGTGATTTTTCAGTTTCCATCGCCTCTACCATGCAGGTTATTTTCTTTTCTATTTGGTTTAACCAAAAAAAAGTGGTGACAATATTAAAATTGTATACTTTTATAACTAAATAAATTAAGAAATAACATAAAAAAATAAATAATAAAAAAAATCATTGTAGATGCTGAAAAATAGGCATATCAACACTATAATTGTCACGATTCGCTGCTGGAAGGAACGATGGAGACGTGGATAACATAAACGGTATTTAATGAAAGAATCACAGGGGTAAATCCACAACAGGAACAGGGGTAAACACACATAATCCAACAAGTAGACCTGACCAAAGACAGAACACAAAGGCTGGGACTTAAATACATGGGGTAATTAGAACTAAACAAGACACACCTGAAATCCATGAACAATCAACACGAGGGAGAAACTGGGTCACGGAGCACATGGGGAGGGAAAACACAACAAAGACAGTCCAGGGGCATGACAATAATGTATTAAATATAATCTATTTTTTAAAATGTATTACTTATTTTAGTTTTTTTTAAGATTATTACATTCTTCATGTTTTTAAAGATTTAGTGAGTGTCAGATGATAGCACGGGTAATATAGTAAAACAAAACAATACAATATGTAAAATATTCACAAATGTGTAAAATGATTACAATTAATAAAATAAACAATTGTTCATATAAGCATATAAGCAAATGATGTTATAATAAAAATATTTTTATTTATTTTATTACAGATTATTAAATTAAAAGTATGAGTGAGTGCCAGATGATAGCAAAGGAAATGTAGATCTAAAAAACAGAAATGGGCATGAAAATGTAAATATCCAAATATCCGAATGATATTGTTAAATTTAAACATCCCTAATATCAGATATCAGAATATCTAATATATAACATAAAAATATGAAAGAATGACAGCAGTACAGTCAGGCTTAAGACCTTAACTTACTTGAGACTGACTAGCAGAGCTGGACTCAAAGGACTAAACTAGACATCTCTTTGGAAATCACCCGAGCTACTGGAGAAGTTCACTGTGTGAAGTATGAAATCCGGCAGAGGAATTAATCCCTTTACCCTATTACCCTTTAAAATACCCTCTAAATGCAAAAACTCATTAAATCTATTATATTGCACAAGTAAGCGAGATAGCAGCAACCTGGTGGAAGTTGTTTAAAACCATTATCTTCAACTTTCTTTATTCTGTATTTTAATTCATTCCTGTTGTAAAGGGTTAAAACAGATCTCAAGCAATACTATTCGATACTCTTTGTGTTTGAATGCGGTTAGCATATCAGTGACAACGTGAGATAATTCTTCACAAGACTTAGTATCTGTGGTTTTCTAAATATAACATCTTATGGCTTGAGGTTGTTAGTCCAAGGTATAATTCCTTGAAAAGAAGTTGCTTATCTGAAACTTGCAGTAAGTTAGAAAACTACATTTCCACTCCATAAGTCCATTATATGGTAAAGTGAAGGGAACGAGAGAAGATTGTGCTGATTTTCAAATCCAGATTGCCAGCTACAGCCTAAATAATAGACATTGTTGAATTTCCCTTCAGTATGTTCAGGAAAAATCCAGGCAAATCCAGCCAAAAAAAGCACACATCCTTGCCTACAACCAACGAGTGATACTAGCAAAAGTACGTCTTATGCTTACTCATATTTGTTAGCCGTTACCGAAGGGTGTTGTATCAGGATATGTGGCTGCACTTGGCTCAGTATTTCTAGTAAAGTGAATGGACAAGCACAGCACAATTTATTCTCAAAGTGATGGTTGGTGTAAAGTTCTCTGAGTATTCTGCACATGGCCTCGGGTTACGTTGTAATGACAGTCATAAGCTTTAGGTGACTGCACTTGTGGCCCTGTAGACATCTCTGCTTGACCTCTTGGGACCCATGGGAGATAAATAGGCAGTGTGCTTGAAAGACGCAATGAGCTAACTTGCCCTTGCTATTTGTATGTGCTTAGCACAGCAAGGTAAGGTATAATAACTTTGCAAAAGCACAGCTCTGGAACCAATGTGGCGAAACTATTAGGCATTAGTTCTTTGACGCATTAAGAAAATAAAGCACAGATGTTGAGCACGGTTCAACGCTCTCCATGGGTCTTCAAGAACCTGCTTCATTTAGCCTGTAAATTAAATAAAGGATTGCATGGCAGCGCACCAAAAACTCACAATATCACTTGAGGACTGCAGCTCCGTCAAAGATGCCATGACGCGCAAATCCTCGGAATATATTTCTTCATCAACGCCTTGACAAGATTGAATTGAGAAATCAAACATTACAAAGAAATCAGTGCCAAAGCAAAGAGCAGCCTGCCATGAGGGGACATCTGTCTTCAAGCATAATCATATTCTATTCGCAGGTGGCCATCTGAATATATAAATATTTTATTATCATGTTGAAACTTTGGCAGAGAAAGTACATTTTGCTGACATTTATATAGAAGTGTTATACCACCATGCCACCTATAAATCTCAGAGATATATTTCCCCAGCTCTTATGTGTGTCTGCTGCAAATGCCCATGTTGGCAAAAATGAAACTTCAGATCTAAAACAGGCAGGCACTGACTTCTGTATAATGCATCCATATGAACAGCACGGCAACACGCTGCTGCATATATTTGTCATGCCTAATATCATTCATATAAATGGCAGACTGATAAATGGGTGCATTAGTAGAGCTGGCCACATATAATAGGTTTATTCAGCGCCGACAGGAACACAAACTGATGCCCTTAGATGCTCAAACAGGAAAAAATGGACATGCTGGTGTAATGAACAAGACAAATTGCTCTACACTGGATTTGCATAGGCATGTTCCTTGAAATTGTACAAAAGTTTGCATCGTTGAGAATTTCTCATAATCTCGATGAGAATGTTTGCTCAATAATGATAATGCTCAACAAAGCGTGTGACCCCGGAAGTGGAGGAAGTTCGCATTGTCTAATCTCTCCTTAACACTCTCACAAAATGAAATTCATGACTAACTGTACTCCATGTACCTGCATTATAGACAAGATCCAACTGAGAGCGCATTACTCTAACGCTATCCAAATAATTCTCTGTGACGGCTTCGCTTTCGATGATTTTGTACTAATCTTGATTTTTATATATAAAGTCATGACAACCTTAGAGGTTTTAGACTTCTCGACCTTCCCCAATTTATCCAATCATGCTAAATGGAGTAAAATGCGAGCTTAAGGAACTGACTTTGTCATGATTTTCCCCCTTTGCTCTTTTAACTGAGGAGAGATGTAATACTAGATATGGAAAGAAAATGAAAATTGGAAAGATGTCAATCCTTTTTGTTAAGAACACACCTGAGGGGAAGGGACCAGGTTGGGTGCCATTAAATTATGGCATCAAGCTTTTTTTCCACACTGAAACTGAAAATGCAGTGTGATGCGGCATAATCACAGCCATTAAGATGGTATTTAATATTTAATATAGATTGACGTGGAGCAGAATTGTAGACCTATTAGTTTTTATAATGGACGGGGCTATAAAGTGTGATGCTGCAGAAATTCCCCCCCAAAAAAATCAGATTCACGCAACAGTTCAAAAGTTTGGGCTGCATTTAAATTTGTAATATTATGAAATTTAAAATAACTGTTTTCCATTTTAATAGATTTTAAAATAAAAAATGTTCCTGTGATGGTAAAGCTGGATTCTCAGCAGCCATTCCTCCAGTCTTCAGTTTCACATGATCGTTCAGAAATCATTCTAATATGCTGATTTAGTGCTCAAGAAACATTTCTAATTATTATCAATGTTGAAAACAGTTGTGCTGCTTAATATTTTCATGGAAACTGATATATTCTTTTCAGGATTCTTTGAAGAATAGAAAGTTCAAAAGAACAGCATTTATTTAAAACAGAACTCTTGTCACTTTTGGTCAATTTAATGCATCCTTCATGAATAAAAGTATTAAATGTAAAAAAAAAAAAAAAATCTTGAACATTAGTGTAGATGGAAGAGATGTACACAGCTGATGTGACAAGCTGAAATACAATATTTGAAGATTGCAGTCTTTCCCTTTTGATTAGATAAGAGCTGTACTTGCATGCCTAGGAAATAGCTGCCTGAGGTGTAACTAAGAGGGAGAAGAGTGAACTAACTTGCCTTCAAGGGACGTTGGTAGTACATGCTTTTCCTTTTATACTTTAACTAATTTCTTTGAAGTAATAATAATAAAAATAAAAAAAACTAGATTTGTGTGAAAGAAAATGTGCGATAGAAAAACCTAAACTACTGTTCAAAACTTTGGGGTCATTGTGAAGAAATTAATACTTTTATTCATCAGGGATGCATTAAAATGATCAAAAGTGACCTTAAAGACATTTATATTGTTACAAAAGATTTCCATTTCAAATACTTGCTGTTTTTTTTTTTTTTTTACTTTCTAGTCATCTAAAATCCTGAAAAAAAAATATATATCACGTTTTCCACAAAATTATAATTGTTTCTTGAGCATTAAATCAGCATATTAGAATGATTTCTGAAGGATCATGTGACACTGAAGACTTGAGTAATGATGCTGAAAATTCAGCTTTGCAATTACAGGAATAAATTACAAATGAAAATATATTAAAAAAGAAACAAAAAAAGAAAAGGAGAAATTAAATTAAAAAGTATACTTGTTATCTACTTCTACATCACATCCAATGGTTTCCACAGAAACCCACACAGCAGTGCGGCAAAACAAAATGCCATTATTTTCCAGCCATGGAAGAAAAAAAACATCTAATTGACAATTAAACGCAATTTAGGAAAATAAGAGAGGCTACAAAATATACTGTTTGTTGGTATTGTTGTGACTGAGGCTCACAGGATGTTCCTAAATGAAAGTTAACTGCACAGTCACTGGGGAGACAAAGTGACTTTAGAAATAGCTTGAAAGCAGTTGCTGTCCAGTTCTGTGCATTGTCCATACATCTTCTTGATGTAATAAGCCAAAGGTTGAAGCGGTCGGTGAGAGGTCTTACCTGAGGGGAAGTGCTCATTGATGGCCCAGTTGTCCACCTGAAGTGTAGCATTGCCCCCATTTCGGGTGAAGCGAACTACATGGTACTTGCCGTCATTTACAGCGGTGCTGCTCTCCTGAACAGTGATGTCAGACGTTCCGACTACTGTATACTACCGTTCAGAACCTTGGGGTCATTGCGAATAAATTAATACTTTTATTCATCAAGGATGCATTAAAATGATCCAAAGTGACCTTTAAGACATTTATATTTTTTTACAAAATTTCTATTTCTATTTCAAATACCTGCCGTTTTTTCAAACTTTCAACTCATTTAAAAATCCTGAAAAAAAAACAAATATCACAGTTTCAACAAAATTATAAGAAAAGTTTCTTTAGCATTAAATCTGCATATTAGAATGAGTTCTGAAGGATCATGTGACACTGAAGACTGGAGTAATGATGCTGAAGATTCAGCTTTGCCATCACAGGAATGAATTACTAATTAAAATATATATAAAAAATAAAAATAAAAAGGAAAAATAAAATTTAAAAAGTAAACTTGTCAGCTACTTCCACACCACGTCCAATGCTTTCCACAGAAACCCACACAGCAGTGCGGCAAAACAAAATGCCATTATTTTCCAGCCACGGAAGAAAAAAACAGCATCTAATTGACAATTAAATGCAATTTAGGAAAATAGGAGAGGCTACAAATGTACTGTTTGTTGGTATTGTTGTGACTGAGGCTCACAGGATGTTCCTAAATGAAAGTTAACTGCACAGTCACTGGGGAGACAAAGTGACTTTAGAAATAGCTTGAAAGCAGTTGCTGTCCAGTTCTGTGCATTGTCCATACATCTTCTTGATGTAATAAGCCAAAGGTTGAAGCGGTCGGTGAGAGGTCTTACCTGAGGGGAAGTGCTCATTGATGGCCCAGTTGTCCACCTGAAGTGTAGCATTGCCCCCATTTCGGGTGAAGCGAACTACATGGTACTTGCCGTCATTTACAGCGGTGCTGCTCTCCTGAACAGTGATGTCAGACGTTCCGATGTTGAATGTGACTCCAATTTTGCCTTGTTCCTGAAAAGGATGAGAAAAACATCAGTTTTGTCCACAACATCTACATTAACAACAAACACATGGGATGAATTCAGGTAAATTTTGTGACTTTCTGCCATTCAGTTTCACCTTTTGTATTTTTCCTGTATTTGCCTCAATGAAGAGATGCATTTATTCTTTGTTGATTATTTTTTAATGACGCAGTTGCCCTTGAAATCTGTCACCTCTTGCTTTGCTTTTGTTCTAGCAGGATCCTGAATAATCTATTAGCATTAGTGACCCCTGATAAACTTGTCCGCTTGATGAAAAGTATTCATCAGCCATTAGCACCCCCCCGTCTTTAGAGGTGAAGAATCAGGCTCATTGATTTACATAATGCAGTGAAAGTGGACTAAATCAATAGCATTAGCTAAAACAGAAAAAGAGATAAGAATGATTAATGAGACAGGAAGGTGTGCGGTGTTTGCCCTCATGGATCCAAGAGGCTGTGTGCAAATGTAGCTGCAAAGATTCTCACTATAAATTAATTAGCACAGCCTCAATGAGCATCGGTGGAGAAGGAAACATTGAGGAAATGTTTCATCCATCGTCAATGTCATGAATTAACTATATGTTTTGAAAGTGTCTGCTGGAAACCAGCCTAAGCTGGTTTGGGTTTTGGGCCCTTGTCAGTTGCTCAGACCGGCTAAATCAGCATTAACCTTTTTTTTTTCTTCTCTGCAACCGTTTCATCCTCTCTAACGCACTCTCTCTACCCCCCTCCTGAGCCCTCTGGGTTGCATGGATATATTTTATGGTTATGTTAAATCGAATCTGGTGTTGTTCTTATCTCTTGCAGCATGGAAAATGACGACAGATGATAAATTGTATCAAGGGAGATGTTTATCAGTGCAGAGTGCATTTATCACAGAAAGATCTCCCTGAGAGAAATCTGGGCCAGTCCTCTCAAGTTCATTTGGAAGACTTTCCCAAAGACCGGAATGCTGTGTACATCCTTCTCTGTTTGTCTTTAATTAACCCTCATGTTTTATTGATATTGACTTTAATGATTTTATGTTTGGTGTCCCAGAGACCCCAATGATGTACACTGCACTATTTTTAAAAATAATTTATACTTTTATTCAGCAAGGATGCATTAAATTGATCAAACAGTAACAGTAAAGTCATTAAAATTATTACAAAAAAAAAATTATATTTCAAATAAATGCTGTTCTTTTGAGCTTTCCATTAATCAGAGAATCATTCAAATAAAAAGGTATCACCGCTTCCACAAAAATATTTAGCTGCACAACCATTTTCAATATAATAAGAAGAAATGTTTCTAAATCAGCATATGAGAATGATTTCTGAAGGATCATGTGACAGTGAAGACTGGATTAGTGGCAAAAGGTTCGCCATCACAGGAATACTTTTTTTTTTTTAAAACAAATCAAAATAGAGAAAAAGTTATTTTAAATTGTAATAATGTTTCATAATATTACTATTTACTGAATTTTTGTACAAATAAATGCTGCCATTCAGTTTCACCTTTTGTATTTTTCCTGTATTTGCCTCAATGAAGAGATGCATTTATTCTTTGTTGATTATTTTTTAATGACGCAGTTGCCCTTGAAATCTGTCACCTCTTGCTTTGCTTTTGTTCTAGCAGGATCCTGAATAATCTATTAGCATTAGTGACCCCTGATAAACTTGTCCGCTTGATGAAAAGTATTCATCAGCCATTAGCACCCCCCCGTCTTTAGAGGTGAAGAATCAGGCTCATTGATTTACATAATGCAGTGAAAGTGGACTAAATCAATAGCATTAGCTAAAACAGAAAAAGAGATAAGAATGATTAATGAGACAGGAAGGTGTGCGGTGTTTGCCCTCATGGATCCAAGAGGCTGTGTGCAAATGTAGCTGCAAAGATTCTCACTATAAATTAATTAGCACAGCCTCAATGAGCATCGGTGGAGAAGGAAACATTGAGGAAATGTTTCATCCATCGTCAGTGTCATGAATAACCTAATACTGTTTTGAAAGTGTCTGCTGGAAACCAGACTAAGCTGGTTTGGTAGTTTTAAAGGGTTTCGGACCCTTGTCAGCTGGCTGCTTAGACCGGCTAAATCAGCATTTATTTATTTATTTATTTTTTTTGCTTTGCTTTCTCTGCAACCGTTTCATCCTCTCTAACACACTCTCTCCACCCCCTCCTGAGCCCTCTGGGTTGCATGGATATATTTTATGGTTATGTTAAATCGAATCTGGTGTTGTTCTTATCTCTTGCAGCATGGAAAATGACGACAGATGATAAATTGTATCAAGGGAGATGTTTATCACCGCAGAGTGCATTTATCACAGAAAAATCTCCCTGAGAGAAATCTGGGCCAGTTCTCTGAAGTTCATTTGGAAGACTTTCCCAAAGACCGGAATGCTGTGTATATTCTTCTCTGTTTATGTCTTTGATTAACCCTAATGTTTTATTGATATTGACTTTACTGATTTCATGTTTGGTGTCCCAGAGACCCCAATGATGTGCACTAAAATAAATTTTTCTTTTATTCACCAAGGATGCATTACATTTAACAAAAGTAACAAAAAAAAAAAAAAACTTAAAAAAAGATGCTATTCTTTTTATCTTCTATTAAACAAATAATCATGAAATTTCTAAGCCAGCATATAAGAAATGTTTCTAAATCAGCAAATGAGAATGATTTCTGAAGGATCATGTGACAGTGAAGACTGGATTAGTGGCAAAAGGTTCGCCATCACAGGAATACTTTTTTTTTTTTTAAAACAAATCAAAATAGAGAAAAAGTTATTTTAAATTGTAATAATGTTTCATAATATTACTATTTACTGAATTTTTGTACAAATAAATGCTGCCTTAGTGATGGTAATATGTATAGTAAAAAGTTAATAGCATTTCAAAATTAACCTCAGATATTAAGAAAACATACAAGGTTAATTTCAAAATTGCAGGTAATATTGTAGTGTATATGTAAAAAAAAAAATCGAAATTAACCAAACATATAAAGAAAATATATACATTTTGTTCATATATATATGTACTTCCTCAGAATTCATTAATGAAAACCTTGCAGACAGATAATACTGAAGCTTTAATCCACTTATTTAGTAGAAAAGTAGACACTTTTCAGTAAAGTGCCTGGTATCTTTTCTAGTAACTGTTTATGTAGAAAAAAAAAAGTTTAAAATCAGATTTTTATAACATTAATATAAGTATCAACCTGACTAGTGCATGTCATGCAGATTCATTAACCAAATCAATAATGAATAATTACATATAATAATACCGCATCTCACTGTTCAGCATCTTAATCCACGAGTGGCACATTTAAAAACACTGTTTTAAGTCAAACAGAATTTGAAAAATGCCTCTCAAGATCCCTTCTTTTTGCTCCTGTCTATAACACTCCATCTTGCTGTTTTTCATTATACCAAATTGACATGTTAAACTGACATCCATAATAATTACTATTACAAATAATTGTTTTCTTTATGTTCCACTTCATGCCATGCCTCCTTTAACCATAGTAAATTGCCTTTTGTAGCTTATGGCTATATTATATGTGTTTATTTATTTAAGTATTTAATGGATAGATATTCATAAGCTTGTCAGTGTATGGTATGGTTTTAATGAAGTGTTTGTGTTCAATGATACTTCAAGTCCCTTGAGACCGTCTTCATAGAGGAAGGAGGATTGTACGTTACTGTAACCCTGCCTTTCTTCCTGAATGAAAAGCTGCAGAAAACATATCTCTGCCCTCTTGTAAAATATTAATGAGATGAAAATGAGTCAAAACACATAAAGAGCACTTTGCTAAATCTGCTTCCACAGACTTCCACATACATACACACACAGTGCTATGAAATATCTAAGCTCCCTGCCACTTTTCGCTTTGTGAAAGCCTCTTGCTGCTGTATTACTTGTTTGATCACAGAAACACTCTTTTACATTTAGCATCAAAGAGTTTATAAGTGTCTCTCTCTTGCACTCTCTTTCGTACATCTATCTCATCCCCCTTTCACGTTCCAATTCCAATACCGTAATGCTTTCGCATCCAGGAGGGTAAAAGGACGAATAAACTCTTGGTTTTTGAGCAAGTGATACATGAAAGGAAATAGTCTGTCACGCACACACACACACACACACACACACACACACTATATTGAGCGTCAGGTCAGCACTGCATACAGGAAAAGTGAGCAAATACAGAATAAGCTTTGTGCGATTTATCTATTATGGGTCAATGACAAATAAAGATGGCCAAGATCAATGAAAATGTAAAAAAAAAAAATTGAAAGAAAAAAAGAAAAGAAAGAAAAAGAAAATGAACGACTGAAAATTTAGAGTGGTATTGTCATCGAGTTTTCCTTGAATACACTTCATTATTTTAAGGTAAAAATTATAAGGTAAAAACAAATATTTGTAATAAATTATCATGAAAAAAATTATCATGATTGTAGTTTTGGGTTATTAATCATTAAAGTTTTTTTGGGTTACTCAATTTCACCTGAAATAAAGATAGACAGACATGTTTTATGATTTTCTTGTTTCATGACAACATAATGTGTTCCTGCATGTTGGTTATGCTAATATTAATTTTCTAATCAGAAAAAAAAATGTTGATTTTAGTTTTAATAATCTTTCAAGAATTCCAGGACTTATTTCTTTGATACAATTTCCAAACCTCCTACAACTTTTTATTTAATTAATTTCAATAATCCTGAATTTTGAATACAAGGCTGAATGCCACTTAATACTTTTGAATGACACTTTTAGGACATTCTTCAAAAGTGCCCAGTCAAATATACAACTCTGCTGCAGGCACAGTTTAAAATGATTGGCATGTCCAATTACTCATTGTATATATGAAGTGGAATAGGACATGCAAAAAAAAAAAAAAAAAACTGATTGCCAGAATGAGTTTGAATCAATGGGCCAGATAATGATTTTGCAAACAGAAAAGCTGAACAAAAAATTTGACCAAAAAAAAAAATAGATGGCAAGAAAGCTT